CCCCTCCCTCGCCCCCCCCCCTCCCTCGCTCACTCCCTCTAGATTGTTATGTTCATTTATCTCGCTCTCACTCTCTTTCTCTCGTTATTGCTTTTTGTCCTCTCTCTCTCTGTTTACTAAACTGAATATGATCAGATATGGTACAATGTTATCTGGTCGCCTCGTTTCTTATCATATGCTCTCGTCTCGTATAGTAGCGCATCTGACTTATAGTGTCGTGTATTCGCTCATCTTATCTTGTAATACCTTCCCTTAGTGGTTCGTGTAGTACTGTCCCGTCTCTTCTCTTATCTTGTCCTGTACTAGATGTAAATGCAATATCGTTTCGTGTCTTATCTCGTCGTGTCGCGGCGTCTCGTCTCTTATGTTATAATATACTCGGTTAAAATGTCAGCTCGTACCGTCTCTCTCTTCTCGCCTCGCACCGTATGTGTTACTCAGCTAACGTATGGCATCGCATGTTCTCTTAGATGACCTTACATGATCGTCTATGGTCGTCCCTGAGAGTCCCCTACGTCCTCGTATAGTATCGCAGCGTGGCTTATCCTATCTTACCTTCGCGCCTCACATGTTATCTCATCGTGTACTATCGCATCGGCTCTGGTATTATCGTGCCCTATCGTGTCTTACCTGCGAACATAGTATGGTATCCTCTCTAATTGTATCGTATCGTGTTGTTTATTGGATTGGGTTATGCCACCTTCTCTCATCTCATAATGCAATATATCAGTTCCCGTGTCTTACATGTCGTCTCTTATCTTACATTCCCTTGCAGTATATGGTGGTCTCGTCTCTTGTCGTTTTTTTTGTTTTTTTTGTTTTGTCTCTCTCTATCTCTCTCCAAATGTGCATATACAGGTGCAAGATGCCGGCTACCTGTGCAACTTACTGGCAGCGCTCCTCTCCTACTGGTGAAACACCTCGTCCTCATCAGCGCCCTCGTCGAGGGCCACTCGGCCAGTACATCCCCTCCCACTCCCTCCCTACTACCCCTCCCCCTTTGGGAAAATGACCTCCTTCTCCTACTCTTCGTCCCTCGCCTTCCTCCTCCTCCTCCTCCTCCTCTTCCTCCTCCTCATCCGTCCCCTCCTTCTCCTCCTCCTCCTCCTTCTCCTCCTTCCCCTTCTCTCCCTCCTCCCCCTCCTCCCCCGCCTCCTCGTCGTCCTCCCCCTCTCGAGAGCTGCACGCCCCTGGCAGAACCCTCACCATGGGAACGTTTCGCGGACACCTCGGGTCCCGATTCCCTCCTCCTCTCCCCTCTCCTCCTGCTCCTCAGCCAGTCGCGCCCGTGCCGAGCTGCCCTTCGCCGCACGTGGGATGCACTTGCCCAGAGGAGCCCATCAGCATGGAAACGGTTGCTACAGTCAGGCCTGCGCCAGAGGAACTTCCCTCAAGAACATGAGACCATCGTCGACCAAAACAAACAGAACATTCAAGGGTCCAAGGGTACCCTCCCCAGGATGCACAAGAACATCCAACATGCACGAAGAACGCTAGGGTACCCTCCCGAACCGAACTCGATCTTATACCTCGGTCCGACTGTAGGGCAAGCAGGCACGCACAAACACAAACAGACATGCGCGCAACACACTGTGTGTTTCGCGCACGTCTGCCGCCAAGGAGTATTTGGCACGGTCGCCAAAGCTTCTTTGACACGGTCAGATCGGCCCGGGTGCAAGAGCGTGGTCCAGCGGTACGCTTCTTGGTGCACCAAAGGTGCGGGTTGCGACAGAAGCCACAGTATGCCTGTGGTGTGCTAGAGAGTTTGGCAGCCATGCAGCGTATCGGGTGCACGCGGCACGCATGTATCGCAGACAGTCTGGCCTGGCACGTGCGTATGCGCATCCAGATGAACGATGCCAGACATGCGTATCGGTATTGCGCAATCGGGCGCATTGAATGGATAACTTGCGCCTGACTCGCCGAGATGTATGTATGTCATGTATGTCTACATACTGCGCGATAGACCCCAGCATATCATTTGGAGCATGCCGATGTGGGCCCCCCCGCAGGGCTCGCTAATAGGCGGGGTTCGGATTTCGAGGCGGCACGTGGTGGTCCAGACCATCAGGGCAGCGGGAGCCCTGGAGCCCGAACGAACGAACGAACTGCCATACGCCGGAGCGCGTGGGCAAAAGACAATGCCAGCCTGAACTCGCCGCTTTGCGGGAGCGACTGCACGTCGGCTGTCTCATAATTCACAGCGTGCGCGATTGGAGGAGGAGCAGCAGCAGCAGGAGGGGAGGGAGGAGAAGCGAGAAAGGAGGGACGGCAGCACTGACACAGCAGGAGGCTAGGGAACGATTAGCGGCGACGGATCCAGATGCCGAGTGCCTGCCTACCACCGACGCCATCACTGCCAGATCCGCTGCCAGATGCCGAATGCCTGCCTACCACCGCCGCCATCGCTGCCAGCTCCGCTGCCGGATGCCGACAGCCGACCTGATCAGAAAACCGATCAATATCCTGCGCATGTGTGTTTCTTCCGGAACGTTATGCAAGGGTTGCGGCCGACCCCATCCCCAGCGCACTGCGTCGGGTAGAAGTCTATGTACTGAACCTTTACTGTGGTCGACGGCGCGGAGGAAACATTCAGGCACAGGTGGAGTGGACGCACTACCTCACCGACTATGATATTATTATGCTCACCATGGCCATAGTACACATGCGACGCTTGGAGATATGATGAACGCTGATGCACTTGCCACATGAGAAGAGCACGCATTGGCCAGGTGTGTCGTTTTGTCGTGAGGAGGTCCACTGTGTGAGACCTGGTTCGCTGCGCGTTGGGCTAAAGGCAGCGGCCCACCACATCTACGGACGCATGACGAGTATTGGGGGAATGTTGCACTCACATCACGACAGGTGAAACAGATGTGGGTAGGAAACCCGCTGTTAGGAGCGATGGTCACACTATTCGCCGCACACCTCGTAATAGGCACAAGCTGCAGGATGGACCACCCGCAGCCGTGTGATTGGCGTATCCACGCTGCGACGTTCTTTACATGGGAATCCCTTCGGGCCTCGGTCTCCTCCCAAGCAGTAACAACCACCGATTTCGATTAGTGCGAGCACGGATAGTCGTCGAGTGCACCGACTCGGATCTTGCCATCACGTCTCATACGACGGGGCTCGCAGGGGATGGGGGACCGCCACAAGAAAGCCGTACCCAAACCGACGATGCAAGGGCTTGGGCAGATAGCATGATCGATTCCGTCCGGATGATGTGGACAGGAGGTTGCGACGATACGGTGCCTGAGGACATGGGGGAGGACCAAGGGATCCCGTGATGCGTGCTTTTGGGGGGATTTTGTCTCCCGGGGTCCCCGTCCGGGGCGGTGCGAGGAGTGGGCTCAAGATTCCGTGCACAGTGCAACGCAAGCCTCGGGCCCGACGGGCCGATCACGGCATGTATGGTTTCTACCCGCCAGAAGCAAGGGCTCCCAACTTCGCGCTTCGCGCTCCGCGAAGCGCGAAGCGCGAATAACTTCGCGCCCTCGCGCCGCCCCCCCCAAAGGGAGAAGAGGAGGACGAGGAGGAGGGGGAGAAGGAACGAGGACCGCGAAGCGCGAATAACTTCGCGCCCTCGGGGGAGCCCTTGCAGAAGCTGCTGCCGACACGGAGCCGGAGCAGAGTGGAGACGTCGCAGGCCCCGCTGCCACGCCCGGGCCGCCAGGGCCACCCGAGGCTGACGAGGAGCAAGGGTACATGGATGCCCACTCCTTCCAGGCCAAACCACGGTCGGGCACCCCATCCTCGTCCTCCCCGTCCTCCTCGTCTTCCTCGTCCTCCTCCTCCTGCTCCTCCTCCTCGACCTCCTCCTCCTCGTCCTCCTCGTCCTCCCCCTCGCCCTCCTCCATTTCCTCCTCCTCCTCCTCCTCCTCCTCCTCCTCCACGTCCTCCTCGTCCTCGTCCTCGTCCTCCTCCTCCTCCTCCTCCTCCTCCTCTCCTCCTCCTCCTCCTGCTCCTCCTCCTGCTCCTCCTCCTCCTCCTGGAGGGGGAGGAGGAGGCGGAGCTACTGGGCCTGCAGGCCGAGGTGCGGCCCCCCGGCTCCAGGAGGCACGGCGGGCTGCCGTGCCGAGGAGGGCCTCGGGGCGTGCGCGCAGCTTCGGCCGGGCGTTCCGCCGCGGCGCGGTCCTCCTCCTCCTCCTCCTCCGCTCCTCCTCCCCTCCTCTCTCCTCCTCCTCCCCCTCCTCCTCCTCCTCCTCCTCCCTCCCTCTTTACCTCCTTCTCCTACGCTGGCCGCAGGGGCCGAGCACAGGTGCCGAGCCCGCCGGGCCGAGCACAGGTGCCGAGCACGGGCCCCTGGCCGCAGGTGCCGAGCACAGGTGCCGAGCCCGCTGGGCCGAGCACAGGTGCCGAGCACGGGCCCCTGGCCGCAGGTGCCGAGCACAGGTGCCGAGCCCGCCGGGCCGAGCACAGGTGCCGAGCACGGGCCCCTCCCCCTCCCCCCTCGCGCACCTAATTGCCCTCCCCCCTCCCTCTCCCTCCGCGCGGGCGTGCCGAGCACAGGTGCCGAGCCTCCGGGCCGAGCACAGGTGCCGAGCACCACCGCTGGCCGCAGGGGCCGAGCACAGGTGCCGAGCCCGCCGGGCCGAGCACAGGTGCCGAGCACGGGCCCCTCCCCCTCCCCTCCCCCTCCTTTGTCCGTCCCCGTCGCCCGTAGCCGTTCTGGTTCGAGCAGGGGTTTAGCTCAACCAGGACACCCTCACGACACCCTCACTCCGTTCGCCGCCACTCGCGATGCCGGAGCCGCAGCCGCGACGCAGCCGCGACAGGCGCAGCCGACCCAGAGCCCCGGCGCGCGAGCGGTCCCGGAGCCGCAGCCGCGACCGGCGGGGCCGCCGTGACAGCGGCCGCAGCCGCGAGCGCTCCGGCCCGCACTCTGGCCGCGGTGATGGCGCCCCTCGCGCCCCTCCCGCACCCGCCGCTGCTGCCGCAGGGCGCGGCCCGACTAAAAAACCGATGAAGGGCTCAGCAGAGCCGGCCGCCGGCCCGAGGAAACCGACGACTGGCTCAGTAGAGCCGGCCGCCGACGCAGCCGCCGGACCTTCTGGCGAACAACAGCTTCTCCAGCGGCAGACGCAGGCCTGGCTCCAGTACCAGGCGCTCCACCAAGCGGCGCTCGCAGCGGCGCTGGCGGCACCCCCACGCGGGCTCGACTGGACGACGCCGGGCTTCCAGACGCCGCCGCCGCTGGCGGCCGGAACGAAAGGGGGCGCCGCCGCTGCTTGGCCAACGGCGCCCTCGCAGGGCGACGGGGCTGGCACCGCCGCCGCTGCTTGGCCCGCCTCGGCTACCGCCGCCGGCTGGCTACCGACGGCTCCGACAGCGCCAGCGCCCTCGGCAGGGCTTGCTACAGGGGCTCCGCCTGGGAAGCCCGGCGCCGCCGCCGGACCGGAGCACTGGGCGGCCACGGCGGCAGCGGCCGCCGCCACCGCCGCCTGGCCCGGCACGGCGCACGCAGCACCAGGCGCGCTCTCGACAGGGCCAGCGACGGGGGCGCACGCGGCCGCGAAGCCCGGCGCCGCCGCCGCCGCCGCCTGGCCCACAGCCGCGCCCCTGCCGGGGGTGGTGGTGGGCACGGCTGCCGCCACCGCCTGGCCGGGCACGCTGCCCGCGCCTTGGACTGGGCTTGCCGCTGGCGCGCCCCCACCCACGCCCGGCGCCTGGACGGGCAGCACGGCGCCCGCAGCAGCAGAAGCGCCCTGTGCAGGGCTTGCTGCGGAGGCGCACGCGGCCGCGCCCGGCGCCGCCGCAGCCACTGGGCCACCGCCCCCGCCGGGAGGGGCGGCCACGGCTGCCGTCACCGCCTGGCCTGGCACGGCGCCCTCGCCCTGGGCAGGGCTCGCGGCCAGGGCGCCTCCGACGGCCGGCGCCGCCGCCAAGCCGCCGACCGCGCCCGCCGCGGGGTCGCTGCTCTCGCTGGGGAAGGGGGCCGCCGACGCCGCCGCTTGGCCGCCCGCGGCAACCGCCGCCTGGCCGGCCGCGGCGCTTCTGGAAGCAGCGCCCTTGGCAGGGCTGGCTGAGGGGCTGCCCCCGACGCGCGCCGCGGCGGCCGCCCCGCGGGCGGAGGGCGGGCCGGCCTGGGCCAGCGCGACGGCAGGTGCCGCACTCCCAGCGCCGCCGCAGGGGCCACTCGGGGCGAAGCAGGACGGGCTGCCGCAGGCGCTGGGCTTCGCCGGGCACTCCCGCGCGCCGGAGCAGCAGCCGCGCCCGACCTTGCAGACGGCTCCGGAGGCGCTCGGGGCAGGACCGGGAGGGCTGGGGGCCGCCGCCTGGAAGGGCAACCCGGCTGCCCCTTTCCCGGCGGCGGCGCCGAAGGCCACTGGACCGCCCCCGGGGGGGCCCGCCGCGGCGGCAGCGGGCGCCGCCGCGCTTGAGGACGGCGCGGGCTTCACGGAGTGCTTCGCGGACGCCGTCCGGGAGGCCCTCGACCGCGTCGAGGCCGACGGGGCTGAGCCGCGGGACGCGGTGGAGGCGGTCGCCGCGATCGTCCAGAGGGCGACCGCCGCTCTCGAAAGCGGCGCGCCCCTCCCCGCCCAGGGGGCGAGCGCTGAGGCCGGGGCCCGGCCGGCAGCAGAGGGCCCGCCCGCGCAGGAGGTGCGGGCCTTTAAGGCCAAACTGGCCCAGGCCAGCGCCACGGCCCGGGCGCCGGGCGCGGGACTCCCTCCATGCCTGGAGGTGGAGTTCGCGGGGAAAGTGGAGAGCCAGCTGGGAATGGCACGGCGCCTGGCCAGCTTCGGCACCATCCAGGTCCGCGTAGAGACGGTCGAGCGCGAGGCCGGCCGGATCTTTCACAGGGCCCAGCCGGGGGAGTGGACGGCGTCCGAAGGCGGGGACGACCGGAAATGGGTGTTGCGCCTGCGCATCCCGTCCAGGGCGACGAAGAGGGTCATCACCAAGGTGAGCGTGCAGGCCGACGCCTCTACAGGCGTCCTGGTGGCGAGTGGCATTCGTGCCAACTTCGAAGAGTTCGCGGAGCACTGGATCGCCGCCTTCGGCGCCGTGTCCCGGGTCAGCGCGACGCTCACGACGTACAGCACCGGGCGTGGCTCCATGCACGCCTTCCTGGTGCCGCCCGGCTGAGGTGCCCAGGGGCGTAGACGAGGGAGCGCTCCGCGCATTTTGCGCCGCTTGCTCCAGGCACCGCCCGCGGTGCTTGAGGCCGCTGTGGTCTCTCTCTCCCTCTCTCTCTCTCTTTCCCCTCCCTCTCTGCAGGACTCCTGGATAAGCGACGGTAGGCGCCCCGCCTGGCGCGTGAGAATCATCGCCCGCTTCCCGATCGTGCTGCCGCTGCTGCTGCCCCTGGGGGCCCTCCCGCCCTCCTGCCTCCCTGCCCCCTCCTCCGCCTCCCTGGTCGGTCGTCGTCCTTCCCTGCTTCCCTGCTTCCCCTCCCCGCCGCCTCCGGGGGCCCGGGGGGGTGTCGACCCGGCGGCGGTTGTAATGAAGCCGGAGCGCTCTGGTCCTTGACCGGGAGACGGCGCGCACCCACCTCCTCGCCCCTCGCCCCTTCTGGGGGGGCTGGGGGGGGCCCCCGCGAGGCCTCGGGGCCCACCCAGCTCGGTCGTCGCGCGTCGTGGGGGTCGCTCCGCTGCGGCCGACGGGCAGGATCTCTCGTCGAGCTCTGGTTGGGGTCGGCTCGTTCCCTGCCCGCTGGTCTCGGCCTCGGCGCTGTGGGGGGGGGATCTCGCCGTGGATGTTCCGGTGTACCAGAAAGGTGTAGATGCACTTTTTCCGCCGCCGGTACTTTCTATGTAACGCTTGCGCACTAACACCCCCCTTCCTTGTCAAAGGACTTGTAGGGGACCCTTCTCTGATACTTTGGGGTGCGACTTGTCTGAGGATGGGCTGGCATCCCTCGGTCTCGGCTCTTTCCCTGCCCGCTGGTGTCGGCCTCGGTGCCTTGGGGGGGGCGTTCTCGCCGACGCCGCCGTCGTCGTCGTGTCTGGTCGTCGTCGTCGCCGTCGCCGCCGCCGCCGCCGCCGCCGCCGCCGCCGTCGTCGTCGTCGTCGTCGTCTTCGTCGTCGTCGTCGTCGTCGGCGTTGTCGTCGTCGTCGTCGTTTTCGTTGCCCACCGGGGTGGCGGCGTTCGGGGCGGGGCGGTCAAGCCCCGGGGGGCATTCCCACACATTGGCAGTCCATATTGGCAGTCCCACGCCTGCACGATCTTCCTGTTCCCCGAGCGTGGCAGTACGGACTATCCTCCTCCTCCTGTTCCGCCACGTGCGACTGCCCGCCACTTTCCGCTTGTAGGCCGGTAGACGGGCCATTTCAAGATGAGAGTGGCGGCATCAGGGCCCTTTAGGCCGTAGTCGTCGTCCTCCCCCTCCCCGTCCTCCCCAGCGCGGAGGTGCCGAGCACAGGTGCCGAGCCCCCGGGCCGAGCACAGGTGCCGAGCACGGCCCCCCTGTCCCTCCCTTCCCCTCCGCCTCCTCCTCCCCCCCTCCGTGCTTTGTGTCACGCTAGTTGTTCGACTTCTACATCTCGTCCCGGACTGTTGCTCGCGTCGCCGCCGGGTGTGGGGCACTTGTTTCGTTCTGATTGTCTCTTTCTTCGTCTTTCCTCCCGTGGAGCCGATGGGCCTCTGGGGGCCGTTTGGGCTATGCGGCCTAAGTTATTCCAGGCACACGCTTGCGATGCCTGACCCGAATCGCCGCCGATTTGCTGGTTGGGAGGTCGTCCGAGTCGTGGCTCTTACGTGGCTCTGGCCGGAGCGTGAAGATAATTGCGCGGCGTGGCGACCGTCTGCCACTTTCCTCCTGTCCCTCCCCTCCATGGCCGTTTTTGCCCCGTGCTCGTCGCGTGGCCGCTTTCGCTCGAGTGCTCGCGCATTGGGGGCTGGCAGTCCGGGGGGGCGGCCAAAATGGAGAGCCCGCCGACGGACGCCCTGCGGGCGTGGGGGTCCCGCGCCGCAGCCACAGCGGCTGTTCGCGAAGTCGCCGCCCTGGTGGAGGGCGAGCTGCCAGGCGCTCCTGGACCGGTGCGCCGATGGGGGGCCCTGTGCTTGCGCCGGGATGTCCGCGCGCTGCTGGCCCAGCGGCCTCCCCATGGCCTCAGCGAGGTTCCGCTGGGGCTGGAGGGGTTTCGGGAGTTCGACGCCGGATTGCACACGACACTGAGCCAGCTGGAGGCGCGCATGGGCAGGCTCGCCGAGGGCCTCGCCCTGAACTCCATCTTCGGGGCCTGGGAGGGGGGGCTGCCAGCGACTGAAAGCCCTGAACCGAGTGGGCCTTCAGCGCGATTGCAGGGCCGTGTTGCCGCGCTAAACGTCGCTGGGGCCTTCTGCATGGGGGGCGGTGTCGAGACGGACGAGGGCCGCATGGTGACCATTTGCGCTGGTCTCCAGGCGGCTGGGGTGATCGCGGCGGTGGTGTCGGAGCCTAAGTTGGCGCCAGGCCTGAACTGGCCAGAGTGGACGGGCTACACTTACCATGGCGAGCGGAGCGCTGGGCCGGACACCGTCGGACTCCTGGTTGCCACCCCGGTGGCGGCAAGGCTCCTGCCGGTGCCGGGAGTGGGCGGGCCCCGTGCCATCTGGTGCGAGTTGCCATTGGAAGGCGGCCCTGGCATCTTGCTGTTGGGGATCTACGCTCCGCCCCCTCACTATGGGGTGGCGGTCCGAAAGCTTTTCTGGCAGCGGCGCTGGGAGGAATGGGTTGAGCTGCAGGGCCGCCCGAGGTTCCGGGACTGGAGGCTTGTTATGCTTGGCGATTTCAACCTACACTTTGCGTGCCTGGGCATAGCCAATCGGCGGGCCGAGTCCTTGCTGGACCGCGAGATCCTCGACCTGCTTCTGCGCCCCTCTGGCTTTGGCGCGGTGCTCAGAAATCCAGTCGAGGTGGGGACGCACAGGAGTGGGACCATCATCGACGTAGTGGCCTCTTCCGCCGATTTCCCCGTGAGCGTGGTGGTCGTGCCGTGCGGGTCCGCAGGTGTCCCGGGCGACCATGCGAGGCTTGACGTCGCCCTCCCGGCGACTTTCGCCGTGAACGTTGAGATGACGCTCGGCCGCAGTAGGTGGGGGCACGGGGACGAGTGGGACGCTGCGCTTGGTCACGTGGCGACGGCGCTCAGCTTCATTGGAGGCTGGGCTGGTGCCGTGATGAGGAGCAGGGAGTTCAGGGAGTGGACGGCCCGCGGGGCAAAACGAGGTGTACGACAAGGACTCTTGGACCGCGCTGTGTGGTACCGCTCGGTGGTGTACACCTTGGCAGGCCATTTCGGAGGCCTCGTGCTCGTGGCAAGACGCCCACCCCACGTGCGAGCGGCCTGCCCGGGCAGGCGTGCCGGGGAGGAAAAGGCAGCACTTGCAGAGGAGGCGTTGCAACCTGCAGGGATCGCCGCGCCTGACGCGGACCAACTGGCCTTAGAGGATGAACTCGCCGGCACGCGGGCCGAGCACCGGGCTCGGGCTTTGGACCGATATCTGGAGCTCGCGGCGACCTCCCGCGGCGAGGCGGAGAACTACGTGAGCGGGCTCCTCAAGCCGCGCGAGCCGCTGCAGTTGGCCCTCTGGGACCCAGATTCGGGCAGGCGGCTCGGCCCCGCTGAGGCGATCGAGGTAGTGACTGCGTCCATCCTTGGCCGGGGCGCGGCGGCGGGCCCGGGCGTGGCGTCCTTCAACGCGCAGGTCCGCGCGGAGGTCCGGGCAGCCCAGACTGCAGCGCTCCGCGAGACGGCGGAGGAACTCGGCGACCCCTTGTCGCCGGAGCTGGTGGCGGAGATCGTCCAGCAGGCTCGCGCCTCTCGCAAAACGCTCCACTTGCCGCGCGCCGCGGCAAAGGCAGCGCAGGCGCCGGGCCGCCTGGTGACGTGGGCCGTTCTCAACTTGGCGCTGGTTTCTGGCCTCTGCGCAAGTGAGTGGATGCGGGAGATATCCCCGATTCGCAAGAGGGGGCCCCCGGTGGTAAGCGACCCTGCCGCCCTCCGGCCCATCAGCTACGTTGGGGACCTTGAAGGGTTTCTGGATGCTGGTTGGTTGGCCGTCACCCGCCCGCTGCTGGAGCAGTTCGCCGGCTCTGAGCAGGCAGGGGGGCGCTATGATGCGACGCTCATGGCGGCTGGGCTGCTCATCGCGCTCCAGGTGCGGCGCGGGCTGGGGCTCCGCACGGTGGTCCAGAAAGCGGACCTGCTGCATGGGTTCGACATGGCCTGGCGCGACGGCGTGCTGCTGCAGCTGCGCCGGGCTGGACTGCGCGGGCGGTGGTGGCTCGCGGCGGCGGCGTCCCTCAGCGAGGAGCGCGTGCGGGTGCGCGTTGGGCCCCTCGTGGGTCAGATCGCCACACTCCTTGACTTCGGGGTGGGGCAAGGCAGGCGCGGGGGCGTCCACATGTTCAGCGCGCTTGTCCGCGCTCTCATTGACGCCTGCAAGGTCGCCGCCCAGCCGCTCCCACTCGCGGAGAGCGCCCCGGCGAGCGCCCCTCCCCCCTCCCTGCCGATGCTGCAGTTCGTCGACGACACGTTCGTGTTGCAGCCAGACGAGACGGGGGTGATGCGGGCCAACGCTGGCTTGGGCGCTTTCTGTGCCGCCTATCGACATCGCTACCAGGACGGCAGCAAGGGCCCCGCTGCAATGGCGGTGGGCCTGCCGGCCGTAGACCCCAGCAGGTGCGGCACCATCGGGGCCGTCGGGGTCCGCGCTGTCAGTCAGCTCGAGGTCCTGGGCATCCCGGTGGACGCGGAGCTCTCCTTGGATCCGCTCCTGACACGCACCTGCGCAATCCTCCGGGACGGCGCGCGACGACTGACGGCCGCTCTCTCGGACCAGGGGTTCGGCCTCCCCATGATCGTTGGTCAGGTCCCGAGCCGCGTCGAGTCCGCCGCGCTGTATGGCACGGAGCTGCTGGCGAGCCATGCGCGTGGCTGGGCCGCGGTCGCGGCCCAGCTAAACCGCGCATACTACGACGCGGCGAAGGCGCTCTTGGGGCTCCCTCCGGGCACGTCCTTTGGCGATGGGGGCTACCTCCGCGTCTTCCTGGAGACGCGACTGTTGACGCGCGTGGCCGCCAAAGTCGCCCAGCGCATCATTCTGGCGTGGGCTCGGCTGCTGGTGCTCCCCGAAGGCTCGCCCGTCGCGCCCGCGGTCCA